CAGCAAAAAAATATATATTTTTTGCCAATCTGACAAAAAATAGATATTATTTGATTCATTCACATTGGATGACTATTATTGTGTTTGCTGTTGTCATTTTTTTTTTTGACAATCTAATGGAAAAGAGGACTGTGCCCCTGACTAAATAGTCAGGTATTGCATGTTTTAAAAATTCTTGTGGCACACTGGTTAAAAATCGCTGAATTGGTGATGTGTGTTATATTGCATTAGATACGTTAGGGTTTCGTTTTGCAGATTAAAATGAAAGAGGCAGGATGAGGGCATGTTCAAAGCTGAGGACAGTGGAACAGCCCTCACTGAAGAGTCGGCCACTGATCAGCTCTCGCCAATTGTCATCATGGATGAATGCAGGCTTAGTTTCCAAGAGAAGCCAGAAGTGAGGTGAAATTCACTGCTAGCACTCTTTTAAGGGTTGAATAGAAGTGGTGGCTTCCCTTTGCAACTCCAGCTGTGGGACATGTGGGACATGTGCCTGCTCTTGGACATGTGCCTGCTCTTTCCATATGGTGCTCTTAGTGGCCGTGGTTTTCCGTCCAGCTCTGGGTACCAATGACCAGGGGATGTATTCTAAGAAAGCTCTACACTAAAAATGCCAAGCAATATTTAAAGGACCCAGCTGCTCCATTCTAGGTAAAATATGAAACAGTATGAGAAGAAATTTTTGAAGCAAACATATCAAAATGCAAAACAGGAACAATTATCTTTCTACACATCACCCCTAGTATTTTCTTTAGAAAGGGAAAAGATGTAGAGGCCTGTTCTTCACAGAAGTCTTCCCTGAAGCGACTGCCTCTTTAGCGAGGGCATGGTTTCTGTTCTCACCATTCGGCATGGCCTTGCCTTTAGTCTACTTTACCCCATCTGGTCTCTGCTTTAAATGGAAGAATGCAGGAGCCTAAAGAATTCGATGTCCCTTCCGTTCCTCTTTCCATGACTTTTTCATGCACCGAAGGAGATTGAGATGGGGTGCTTGGGAATGTAGGCCATGAAATCCCTCCCAGTCTTCTTTGCTCCTCCCCACTCCAGGAAGAAAAGCTTGTAAAGTCAGGTCTGCATCCACACAGTGGGATGTTAAACAAGGGCTTCCATCAAAACTCAGAGGTGTCACCTGCCGATTTACTCCCCTTACCCTCTTTATTTAGCCCTGATAAGCAAATTATGTACAAATATTTAGAAATCACATTTCCGGTAAATTAGTAGCATGGGGTGTTCCGCATAGAGCTGTAGCTTGATTTTAGTTTCTCATAATCTTCATTATTTTCCCAAGTAATGTATGCCTTTTGAAATGGGATCTGACCTCTCATTGAAAGTTTTGTAACTACTTTGGCTTCTTTTTAATGAACAGGTAAACAATTATTAAAAATTATTTTAGACTCACTGTTTTTCTTTTTCAGATCCTGAAATATTCCATCATGTTGTTTGTTGGGTATTTATTTTTATATCTTCCTTGTTTTAACTTTCAGTTGTTCAAAATGTGCTTATTTTCTTCTGATTTTTCCTTGTCATGTCTCCAATGTGATTCCCATATAGTTTATGCAGTACTGCATTTTCTTGAGCAAGACCATGGGCCTTTGTTAGGCTTGCAAAGGATGGCTTATTGTTAACCTGTCTTGATTACTTCATCTTACCTAAAGCTAACTTTAACTCAGCGCTAAAAAGAGTATTATGAGATCTATCACATAAGTCACTGTACCTTGTGACTCTCTTTAAGGATAACCTGTGTTTAGTTCAGGATTCAGATGTGGAATATGACTGTGGGGCAACCCTGATCAAAATATATTTACCTAAGAGATCAAGGAGTTAGTTGCCTGGAGAAAAATAATCACATAAGGGATTTGAAGTGCACGTGTTTGGCCCAGAGACAATGTCCCAGTATTAGAGTGAGGGGTAATTTTGGGCACAGTTCAAAGGGGCCTATGGTACGTGTATCTTTGTATATAACACTACTTTTTTGTTTTTTATTTCCTCCTTTTATCCTGGACATGTATGTCTGTGATCTTCATCAAAGGCCTCCTTGTATATTGTTTATAAAGTGAGCTGTAAAAGAACCATCTGCTATTTGCAATTGAGAAATAATACACCACAGATCAGTGGCTGAATTGTTTTTCCCAAGCCAGTAATTTTTTAATTCAAATTATAAAATTAATTTTTAATTTTTACAATTTCAAATAGAAATTTAATTACTTTTCATAAGAAGACACATCTAGTAAATAAGCAAAAAGGAAGGCCATCAGGAAGTTTACCAGTATGTTTAGTAAGCTTGATAAAGCCTACATACTTCAAATAGAAAAGATACATTTTTTATATCCATTGGACCTAATCTTGCATTTGTCACATATAAAACCTTAAAAGTTCACAAATACTAATGGTTAATATTATTTTGCATGATAATACACTAAAACGACTTCAGTAAAATCAGAAACTGGGCAGAGACTGTCACTCTCTTTTATTACTTGGGTGTTGTAAAAGAATAGAGCTAATACAATAGAAGAAAATGTCAAACGTGTCATAAATGTTGGTAAAGGAGATATAAAATTATTCTTATGATAATTATATAAGTAGGCCATCCAGGAGACTCTGGATTGTGTTCTTCATAGTACTCACAATCTAGAATATGTGGCCTGCATTTCACTCTTTATGACAATGTTTTTCTTTCTACCCATGTGTGATATCTCCAAAGGTTGCTTATTCACCAAAGAGCAGCCCTGGTTACTGTTTATTAAAACTTCCATATCTCTTATCACTGTTTTTCTAGCAGCACAAACTTTGCACTTACTCATTTTATGGGGACTTTTTCACATGACTCTTTTTTCATTTGCAATGCTTTCTGAGAAGAATGGTCTTTAAATTAAGTTTATTTGAGAAATTATACAATGAGTTGATTTCTTGAGTACAGATTTCTGAGGAGGATATAATTTCCCCCTAGCTAAATTTCCAGCTCTCTCTAAATTATTAAAATAAGTAGAATTACATTTTCATTTCTAGAACCAATATTAAAGGTAACATATTAGTTAGATTTTACTCTGAGAATGAACTCAATTTGCAGGGACTCCTTAAATTATATAGATTTCTTTATAGAAAATACTAAGAAATCTACCCGCTGTATTTCTATATTGCCTTCAGCTAAAAGTCCCCAAAATACCCTTTAAGGATAAAGCAACACCAGCCCTGAGGAGCATCATTGCTCTCAACCAGTATCCCAACAAATACAGGGCCCTGGAGGAGTCCAGGAAGAACTCCTATCCCAACCCAACCCAACACCTTCACCTGTTGACATTAAAATGTCCTCGGCTCCCAAACCTATGTCGTAAGTCATGTGCATGAGATGATTCAGAGTCTGGCAAGAGTCATCGGAGATGTTTTGTTTAGCTGTGTTTTGTAGCTGAGATGTTTTGAAAATGAGTGTTTTGAGATCACATAGCTGGATAATGAAGCTGACACAGAGTTCCCGGGTTGGGGAGGGCGCAAACTGAGGACATGCCATGGGACCTGAATCCCATTGACCACAGGGACACAGAATGCACCCTGGTTTCTTGTCAAAGTGTTTCAGATAATTGTTATTGTCATAGTATTTAAATTAGATATCTACACAGATTCAAACAGGGTGATTATATCAAGATTGTTCTAGATTGATCCATGTCCCCTCTTTATGTCCTAAAGGGGGAGATACACAAATTTTGTGAAGGGAAGTGCTACGCTAATAAAATATTTGATGATTTTTTAAAAGTTTAATAATATTGAGGAGAGACAGAATCTTTCCTATATCCATACAAATATAATCTAAAACTCAAATTTTAAGCAAACACAAGTGGTGAATTTAGTATCATTTAAAATACTAAAAATTAACTGCCTAGAAACAGGACAAATTGCTGTTTTAGATTAGTTACTGTTTTTGTTCATTTTCGTTTTTTGTTATCAACAACTGTACTTTTACATTGTAATAAGTGTACTGAAGAGAAGCAAAATATCAAGACATTTACCTAAAATTTATTTAGATTCCAAATATTCAGTCCGTATAAGGTCAGGAAACTTAATGTATAGTTTTATAAAGATAGGAACATATTTATTTTTAATTTCAGACAATGCCTTAATGGGCATCTTACAACTTAATTTACTGTTTATATTTTTATATTCATTCATCCATTCAATAAATATTTGCTAAGTGCCTATAATGTACTAACTAGTTTCTTAGCTGTTGGGATACAGAGCAATTCCTGCCCTCATAGAACTCCCTTACTAGTTCAGGGGATGATAACAAAGAGTAACTTATTTGTTAGATTTTGTTCATTGTCTTGGAGAAAAAGAAATCAAGCACAGGGAGAACAGCAAGTGCCCGAGGGGTGAGTAGGGTTTGCAGTTCTAAAGTGGGTGCTCCGAGAAAACCTCACTGAACCTATGACATTTGAAAGACCTGAAGGAAGTAACAAAACATTAGGACAATATTTAGTCATCACCTTTTTTTAAGAGGTCATAAGTCAAAATAATTTATAAGTATTTGAAAATAGCACTATTAAAATAGTTTATTTCACTCATCATTACCTGAGAAAGATGTGTACAGACCACTATAGACGTATGAGCACCTCAAAAGGTAGCCTGGGGTGTTCTGCAAGATCCTAACAACTTCCATTTTATTTCAGGCAATTTGAGGATCCAGTGTAACTCTGTTCTCTTTTTGAAAATTGGGGATATGGTCATTTTGTGGATCTAGCTTTACCTGCTTAATGACTTTTCTTCAATATACAAGAACATCGCATTCTCTGACCATCATGAACAGTGTAAAGAGCTTCGAAGTAGACTTGAGAGCTCTTGTGCCAGGCTGAATGCTCACCAAGTAGCCTTGTCATGAGACAACACATTTACATTTTCTGGTCTCAGTTTTCTCACCTGCTAAGCAATTGGTTTGTATGCCAGGGCCCTTCAAGTGTTTTTTAAAGCTGTAAATGTTTATCATTTCCCAACTTCTGTGATTCCATCACACACTTCTGTGCCTCTTCCTAAAACACAGGGCAGCAGGATGGCAGCTGTTCTGGGGGCAGTCCTGTGGGTGACTCCACACCAGGGATCAGGAGCCGCCTTTCTACCCGCGCCCAGGTAAATCCTCTTCTTGAAATTTCAGCTGTAGTCACTGACTGCAGAACCGGTTAGTGCCCTTGCCACAGTCCTTACCCTGTTGCTCAATTCGCATGCCAACCTGCTGCAGCTCCTGCTGTTGTTTTCCAGAAGTTACAGCTGCCCTGCATAGCTGGGAGCTGTGCTTTGAAGTGCCCACACCTGTGGCTGTCTCCTTTCATCTCACCACACCCAGGTGCTGGGAATCCTGAGGTAATCCTTTCGCTTCTGTAGCTCAGTGGAAATGGGCTGCAGTGTGTCTTATTGAAGAAGTACAGGAAGACTGGCTCTATTCTGGGACTGAGGATGTGGTGATTTCTTTGTTTACCTATAATTTATTTATGTATTTATTTATCTATTTATATTTTGGGGGGAGAGGATATTTCCTGTTCATCTGAGCTCAAAAGTCCAAAGCCCAATTTAATGTTCAGATTTTAAAAATTATACTGATTTGTCTTTTTTTTTCTATTTTTAAAAAATTTTGACATTATCACAGATGTCACCCATTTTTCTCCCTTTTGCTCCTCTCCACACAGACCCTTCCTCCCCTCCCTCTGGCCCCAGTCATATTGTTTTTTGTGCCCATGGGTTATGTGTATATATTCTTTGTCCATTCTCTTCATCTGCTTTCACCCCAGCTGGCCCACCCACCTCCCCTCTGACATCTGTTAGATTGTATCATGTATCCCTAACTCTGGTTCTTTTTGGTTAGTTTATTTTGTTCATTAGATTCCACATATAAGTGAGATCATATGTTATTTGTGTTGCTCTGGCTCGCTTATTTCACTTAGCATTATAGTTTCTAGGTCCATCCATGCTGTCACAAAAGATAAGATTTTCTTCCTTTTTACAGCTGTGTAGTATTCCATTATATAAATGTACCATGGCTTTTTTATCCACTCATCAAGAAGGACACTTGGTCATTCTTCCCACCTCTACAAAGATGACTGAATACTTCAATCCACATTGGTCCCCTCTCCCTTCTTTTGTGGTATAGCCAATAGAGCACAGGTGTAATCTGAAGATAAACAAACTGGATTTGAAATCCAATTCTGCATCATGTTTGACTAAGTATTTGGAAAAATACTGTTGCTGCAACTACTGAGTATTAAGTGTAATGATTACAGATATAATCATACTCACTACTCCCCAATATGGTTTAATTTCATTTAAAATACCAATCATAATATTTACATCACACAATTTTTTGTGAAAATTAATAAAAGGTGATGTTGGTAAAACATTCACTCACTAAAGTGCCCAACATTTGAAACATACAAAATTTCTCCCTTTGAACTCTTTTTTTGCAGTATCTTTAAACTGAGCCCAATTGTTTTATAATTATTTCATGTGTATAAATTTTGTCTCATTAATCGTCGCATAAATTTTGTGAGAAAATGAACATTGTCACATACTTCTTGGGGTCCTCATTGTAGTGTCTGAACTACTTGAGGGCTTCAATAAATCAGTTGTTATAGAGCTAGCACTTAGCACAGTGTCAGATACATAATTGCTCAATAAGTATTTTATGAATGAGTGGGTTTCCTCAATTATTTGATGCATTTTTAAAATTCATGGGTCTAATTTACTGCTCCTAAAGTCGTTTTCTTCCAAAATTCTACTTGGTAAAAGCAACCATGCTTGCCTGGACTAATAGTAATTTATTTCAGAATAATTCTGTTCATCAGAGGCCTCCCATCCTCATTTCTGGAATGTTAGGTTCTGCTCTGGGGTTTCAAGGAAGCCAGAATGCTCAGAAAGGGATATTCACATACAAGGATGTGTTTTCAGTATACTAGGTATTGATATATGGACACCCAGATAGGTATATGAAAGACATGTCTAGGCTTAACTGGATGCCAACTTCTGCAGTTAAAATCAACGCTGTTCAAAATATAACTGACAGATGGATTGCCCATTCTAGTTTTAGTAAATAACTATTAAAATATTTTAAATGGAAACTTCTAGAACTTTGGGTGTGTATCCAAGAATTGCAATGGGAGTAATGATTGTTAAATGGCTTGCTAGTTGGAAATCTTTAAGTAGTATTTGTATTCCATGCATTGGAAAAGAAGAAAAATCAGCCAAAAATTCAAATGTTTTTAATATCTATAAAATAAATATCTTTGGTTTGGTCAGTCTCAGGTTTTCCTTTGGGTAAGAATCAGTTAAGCAATTTATTAAAATTATAGTTGGTCTGGGATGCAAATCAGGAATCTGCATTTTACCAGGGCAGCCCAGGTGATTCTGACACTAGTTGTCTACTGATCTCTGTGTTAGAGTCCACAGTGTATAATGATTTATGAAAAAAGCAGGTGCTTTTTATAGCCAAACAGAACTCAGTTCAAATTCAAGATCTGCCATTTACTACCTTTGTAAGTATGGGAAATTATGTAACCTCTTTGAACCTCAGTTTTCTAACTATAAAGCTGAATAATTCTCAACATATAGGTAAAATTAAATGAGGTATTATTCCTAGAGTGTTTTGTACATTAAAATGTAATGTAATCACTGAATAGTGTGTGTGTGTGTGTATATATATATATATATACATATATATATATATTTAAGTATTTCTCTAGCTTTTGTGCCCTTATAAATATAGTAGCTAACTATTAATTCTACTAGGGAAATATATTGTGGATGCATTGATAATGTCCTTAGCTAGGTCAGCTTCCTAATTTTTCTATGCTTACTCAGGGATGGAAACCTTGAGAAATACCAGCTAGTGGGAACATGGTATCTAAACATGTTGTTGACTTTTCAATCAGATCAAAGGGTTTCTTGAATGTCCCACTAGGCAAAAGTTGTTGAAGGAAATGTATAATTTTATACACTCCATTGCCCTGAGTTTTAGTATAAGGAAAAATACACACATCTATTTCTGGCTCTGTAACTCCATTTAAGTAACAATGTACTTTCCCATAGAGTGAATGGAGGTGATCACGCAAGCACATAATACCTGTGAATCAATCTGCTTCGAGGCATACCGAATGTCTGTAGCTGGCGGTTTAATAATCAAGTTGTTCCACGGCCAGCCCAGAGACGCCAGGGCACTTTGTTGCACTCTAAAGGCCACCAAGGAGGGTCTGGAGGGTCCCCCCAGGCCCACATGAGACTCCCTGAGGTTTCACAGACTCGGAGTTACACAGGGCATTGGTGTTTGTACCGCCACAGTCTTCTGTTAATGTGCTGTACTTGATTATTTGCCCACTGTCTCTCCCTGAGGACATAGATTGTAGTTTACTCATTCTTTTTAAACAACAGCAATTTATTGTCTCACAGTTCTGGAGGGTACAAATCTAAGATCAAGATGTCCACAGGGTTGGTTTCTTCTAAGGGCTGTGAGCAAGAATTTGTTTTATGCATCTCCCTAGCATTGAGTGGTTTACTGGTCATCTTTGTTGTTCCTTGGCTTGTAGAAGCATCACCCTGTCTCTGCCTTCAACTTCACATGTGTGTGTGTCTATGTATAAATTTCCTCTTTTTATTAGGACACAATTCTATTGGTGTAGAGGCTTACTCTACGTACGGTATACCTGAGCAAGGCACTACCCCAAAATCTACTCTGTTAACCTGGCATGAGTATATTCTTTTCTCACTCTTCTGTTTTGTCCTCAGTCTGTACCATGCTGTTGGATAGCTGCCCCCATTGGCTGGAGCACTGTACTGCTTTTGCTGGGCACTATTACTTTAAAATTGATCCTGATCTTCTGGGCACCTGTCTGTCTCCTGGTCATTGGCATGGCTGCCTGGCACTGTGGATACTTCCTCTGGATACCACCATTTATTGCCTGGCAATGTCAACTCCTGCTGCTGATTTGCAGCTTTCTGATGTCAAGTTCTAGTCGGGGCCAAAGCTTTATGGAAATCCCCTTGCGTTGTTTTACGTTGAACTTGCTAAATGGGTATCCAAAACAGAGAAGTAAGAGTTAAGAGTAGAGCAATTCTTTCACTTGCTGATAAACCTACTGAGACTTCCCGCCTCTCCAATGACTAATGCTGTTATTGGGACACTATGATCTTCCCAACTCTCTGCTCCCTTAGGGTGAGTCCTCTCCTCACAGGTCTTTCAGTCCTTCTTGCAAATTGATTTTTGGTAGGTCTGTACCACCAAAGCTCCAGGGTGCCCCGACATATCTTAATTCCAGTAATGGCACAACCATGACTTCAGCTATATATGCAAAACTCAGATGAGGACTAAATTATTTGGGTAGTTGAAATTGGAGGTCATTCTCCATGCAGTTACTATTAAGGGAAAAGCACTGTTAGCTTCTGTTTAGAATCCCATAATAGGCAGTTCTAGTGTTTCCAACAGGGTCTCAATTTCTTATTTTTCTAGGCAAATTGAAAGTCAATAAGCTGTAAGTGGAGGCATTCAATTAGCAGTATTATTTCTTGGCTGAAGCACTTAATAATGTATGTGAGATCCTCTTATACTTCCATCCCCTGCAAGTATGGAGAAGGCTTTATGGTAGTGCAATGGCTGAAGCAGTCTGCAGCATCAGACTTACAGTGGATGTTGCATAAATGAGAAAAATAAAACCGGCTTTCTTGAGTTAAGCTATTGAGGCTTGGGAATTGTGTGTTAGTGCAGCATAAACTTAGCCTATCCTGATGAATAAAAACAACCCTTTTCATCCCCCTGCCATTCCAAATTTAACTAAAAAATATGGTCTCCATCATGAAGGGGATTTTGGTGAAGATTATAAGTTAGAAAACTTCACACTAATAAAATTTTCTTTCAACTTCGTTATTCCTTTTCCTACCCTCTTTTCTCACTGTGTCACCAGATATGTCATTAAGAAGGCTTTGTGTTTGAGTAGAAGGTTTGGTAAAAATACGGAGCATAAGTAGATTGCAGATGGTGATTAACTTGCCACCATTGTTAAAATAATGTAGTATCTGATTTACAAAATGACTGGTCCGTATAATTTTAGAAGACAGTCATCAAACCAATTGCATGGCACTAGAAAGCCAAGCCTTTCAAACTCTTTTTTTGGTTTCATTTCGGGACGAAGTTAGAAGTCTGTTTTCAATCAATGCATTCACTTTGGAAAGTCAGATAACTAATACTAAGCATTATATAAATAGATAGTAAAATACGTTTCCTTACTGGAATCCCCTAAAGTAAACAAACCTCAAAAATAACTTTATTTACGCTCTGTGCTTGGAGAACTACACTGGAACAAAAAGAAAGATGGAATTGGAAA